CTTCCCTAATTTGGTGAAGGAAGAAGGCATTCAAGTTCAAGAAGCACAGAGAGTCCCAAGTAAGAAGAACCCAAACAGGCCCACACCAAGACACATAGTAATTAAAATGCCACAAATTAAAGACAAAGAGAGAATCCTAAAAGCAGCAAGAGATAAGCAACAGGTTACCTACAAAGGGAACCCCATAAGGCTCTCAGCTGACTTCTCACAAGAAACACTACAGGCCAGAAGGGAATGGCATGAAGTAATCAAAGTCATGAAAAACAAGAATCTGAATCCAAGACTACTCTACCCAGCAAGGCTATCATTCAAAATAGAAGATCAAATAAAGAGCTTCCCAGACAAAAAAAAGCTAAGGGAATACATTAGCACCAAACCAGCACTGCAAGAAATGTTAAAAGGACTGCTGTAATTAGCAGTAGAAATGGGAACAAAAATAGAACCACACTAAACAAAAATGGCAATAAATAAGTACATATCAATAATCACCTTAAACGTAAATGGACTGAATGCTCCCATAAAGAGACACAGAGTAGCTGATTGGATAAGAAAGCATGACTCATCTATATGTTGTTTACAAGAGACCCATCTCTCAACAAAAGACTCACATAGGTTGAAAGTGAAGGGATGGAAAAAAATTTTCCAAGCAAATGGAAAGCAAAAAAAAGCTGGGGTAGCAATTCTCATATCTGATAAAATAGATTTCAAAATGAAGACCATAACTAGAGACAAAGACGGCCACTACATAATATTGAAAGGATCTATCCAACAGGAAGATATAACCTTGATAAACATATATGCACCCAATATAGGAGCACCAAAATATATTAAAAATCTTCTGGAGGACTTCCAAGGAGAAATCGACAACAATACAATCATAGCTGGGGACTTCAACACCCCGTTGACAGCACTGGATAGATCCTCTAGGCAAAAAATTAGCAAGGAAACAGAGACTCTAAATGAAGCACTAGACCAAATGGATTTAATAGATATCTACAGAGAATTACACCCCAAAACTACAGAATACACATTCTTCTCAAGTGCACATGGGACATTCTCAAAGATAGACCACATGATAGGACACAAACTAAATCTCTACAAGTTCAAGAAGATTGAAATCATATCAAGCATCTTCTCAGATCACAATGGCATGAAACTAGAAATCAACTGCAACAAGAACATGCAAAGACATTTCAACACATGGAGGCTAAATAGCATGTTATTAAACAATGAATGGGTCACCGAGGAGATCAAGGAAGAAATAAAAAACTTCCTGGAAACCAATGAAAATGAACACACAACAACACAAAATCTATGGGATGCAGCGAAAGCAGTTCTGAGAGGGAAGTTCATAGCACTACAGGCCTACCTCAAAAAACAAGAAAAATTTCTAATTGACTGTCTAACCTCACAACTTAAAGAATTAGAAAGCAAACAAAAAGAAAACCCCAGAGCAAGTAGAAGGAAGGAAATAGTAAAGATCAGAGCAGAAATAAATGACATAGAGACCAAAAAAACAATTCAAAGGATCAATGAAACAAAGAGCTGGTTTTTCGAAAAGATAAACAAGATTGATGGACCCTTAGCTAGACTCACCAAGAAACAAAGAGAGAGAACCCAAATACACAAAATCAGAAATGAAAGAGGAGAAGTAACAACCAACACCACGGAAATACAAAAGATTGTTAACAACTACTATGAACAACTATATGGCAACAAATTCGACAATCTCAGCGAAATGGACAAATTTCTAGAAACACACAGTCTCCCAAAACTATTCCCGGAAGAGATAGAAAACTTGAACAGACCAATAACAACTAAGGAAATTGAAGAGGTAATCAAGACTCTCCCAGCAAACAAAAGCCCAGGCCCAGATGGTTTCACGGGGGAGTTTTACCGAACATTCAAAAAAGAACTAACACCCATTCTCCTCAAACTATTTCAAAAAATTCAAGAAGAAGGAAGACTTCCAAACACGTTCTATGAGGCCAGCATAATTCTAATTCCAAAACCAGAAAAAGACACTACGAAGAAAGAAAACTACAGGCCAATATCCCTGATGAACATAGATGCCAAAATCCTGAACAAAATACTAGCAAATCGGATCCAGAAATACATCAAAAAAATTATTCACCATGACCAAGTGGGATTCATTCCAGGGATGCAAGGCTGGTACAATATTCGCAAATCAATAAACGTGATACACCACATAAACAAAATGAAGAATAAAAACCACATGATCATATCAATAGATGCTGAAAAAGCATTCGACAAAATCCAGCATCCATTTCTGATAAAAACGCTCAGCAATGTAGGAATAGAGGGATCATATCTCGACATAATAAAGGCCATATATGAAAGACCTACAGCCAACATCATACTCAATGGACAGAAACTAAAAACATTTCCATTAAGAACAGGAACAAGACAGGGATGTCCACTTTCGCCACTCTTGTTTAACATTGTACTGGAAGTCTTAGCCACAGCAATCAGACATGAAGAAAAAATAAAAGGGATCCAAATTGGAAAGGAGGAAGTGAAACTGTCATTATTTGCAGATGACATGATATTGTACATAGAAAACCCTAAAGACTCCATCAAAAATCTATTAGACTTAATAAATGAATTTGGCAAAGTAGCAGGATACAAAATTAACGTCAAGAAATCGACGGCATTCTTGTACATCAATGATGAACTCACAGAAAGAGAAACTGAAAAAACAATCCCATTTACCATCGCTCCAAAAAAATTACGATACCTAGGAATAAACTTAACCAAAGAAGTAAAGGACCTATTTGCAGAAAACTACAGGTCATTGAAAAAAGAAATAGAGGAAGATATAAAAAAGTGGAAGAACATACCCTGTTCATGGATTGGAAGAATTAACATAATTAAAATGTCCATACTACCCAAAGCAATCTATAGATTCAATGCAATCCCCATCAAAATACCAACGACATATTTCATAGAACTAGAACAAATACTTCAAAAGTTCATATGGAACCAAAAAAGACCCCGAATAGCCACAGCAATCTTGAAAAAGAAGAACAAAGTTGGAGGGATCACATTACCAGATATCAGGTTATACTACAAAGCGACTGTAACCAAAACAGCCTGGTACTGGCACAAGAACAGGCATATAGACCAGTGGAACAGAACTGAAAACCCAGAAATGGACCCAAGGCAATACGCTCAATTAATATTTGACAAAGGTGGCAAGAGCATACAGTGGAGTAAAGACAGCCTCTTTAATAAATGGTGTTGGGAAAATTGGACAGCTACATGCAAAAAAATGAAACTCGACCATCAACTTACACCATACACAAAAATAAACTCAAAATGGATAAAAGACTTAAATGTGACCCGTGAATCCATAAAAATTCTAGAAGAAAATGTAGGCAACAAAATTTCGGACATCATACGGAGCAGAATTTTCACTGATACATCACCTAAGGCAACAGAAATAAAGGAGAAAATGAACACATGGGACTACATCAAACTAAAAAGCTTCTGCACAGCAAAAGAAACGATCATCAAAATGGAAAGGCAACCCACTGTATGGGAGAACATCATTGCCAATGATGTATCAGATAAGGGGTTAATTTCCAATATATACAGAGAGCTCACACAACTCCACAAAAGGAAGACAAAGAACCCAATTAAAAAATGGGCAGAGGAGCTGAATAGACACCTCTCCAAACAGGACATACAAATGGCCAAGAGACATATGAAGAAATGCTCAACATCACTAATCATCCGAGAGATGCAAATTAAAACAACAATGAGGTATCACCTCACACCTGTCAGAATGGCCGCCATCAACAAATCATCAAACAACAAGTGTTGGCGAGGGTGTGGAGAAAAGGGAACTCTAATACACTGCTGGTGGGAATGCAGACTGGTGCAGCCGCTATGGAAAACAATATGGTGCTACCTCAAAAAATTAAAAATTGAACTTCCATTTGACCCAGTGATCCCACTGCTGGGAATATACCCTAAGAAGCCTGAAACACCAATCAGGAAGAATATATGTACCCCCATGTTCATAGCAGCACTATTTACAATAGCTAAGATCTGGAAACAGCCCAAGTGTCCACCAGTAGACGAATGGATCAAAAAGCTGTGGTACATATACACAATGGAGTACTATGCAGCGGTAAGAAAGAAAGATCTCTTATCCTTTGAGACGACATGGAGGGACCTGGAAAGTATTATCCTAAGTGAAAGAAGCCAAGCAGAAAAAGACAAATACCACATGATCTCACTTATATACGGAATATAATGAACATAACAGTCTGAGGAATACAGTAGACCCAGACACATGGAAGTAGGGCACAGACTGACATCCCTCAGAAGAGGGGATGGGGGGTGGGGGGGTGGGAAGAGATAAACCACAGAACTTATATGCATGTATGCATGACCAATGGACATGGACAACTAAGCCGGGGACAGGGTGGAGGGGGTGGGGTGGGGGGTGCCAATGGGGTAAAAAGGTAAAATATCTGTAACAAAAAAATAAATAAAAATTCATAAAAAAAAAACCAAAAACAAGTCAACATACAATCAGAATTCAGTTAGACACAGGTCACTGTAGAGGTCATGGTTAGTTAACACTTACTGGGTACTTATGTCAGGCACTGTTCTAGGCACCTTGCGAGAATTTACTTATTTATTCCTCCTACAACCCAATGAAGTGGGAGCTCAGAGAGGAGGCACAGAGCAGCGATGTAGCACACCCGTCCACATGACCTACAGAGCAGCCGGGTCAGGGCCTGGGCCTGCTCCACCCCTGCGCTCCTAACCACACGCTCCAGTGCTGAGACACAGGTGCCGTGGAGCACAAAGGAGGGCCCCTGGCCCCTGGTGGAGGCCACAGTTCCCTAGTACCGGTCTAGGATTCTGTCATTTCTGTTCAAGGGCGGGAGCTTCCTAGTGCCCAGCATAAGATGTTCTGTGTGGAAGCAGTCAAGGGAGGGAAGGGGAGAGGGAAGCCAGCTCACTCTGAAAACCACAGATCCTCCAAGCTGAGCACCACGGGGTTCACCGTGTGCAGGTGCTCCTCATTCCATCTCCTGGTGTTCCTGTACACACAGTGCCAGGGCACAGGGGCACGGATGGTTCTCTGCGGGAACATGCGCGGGATGCTGTCGATGAACAGCCTCTTCCTCTCTACTGGGTCCATGAGGATGTAATCAACTGCAACCAACAAGCAGACACTGTTATGAAGCAGGGACCTGAGCACTCCATACTCTTAGCTCAGGCACTTAGAAGGTCAATATTGAAAATGCTCGCTCACTGACAAGGTCGTTGGTAATCCCCCGAAGAGAATGGAATTGGGGAAGCTCCACCCTGCTGTTTTCTTTCTGAAGATATATCAGGGAAGGAGGGGGACGTTCACATTCTGGAGCACTAAGAACCTGGTATTGAATCCTGTCAGGAGATCCAGCACCATGCCTGACAATGAGCGAGTGTTTGCTGATGTCCCCTTAATCATTCATTGATTTCTGGCACCAAAATAGCTACCCAGAAAGTCAACACAATGACGACACCAGACACGGTGGAACTTCAGACAAACATTTCACGTGCTAAGGAAAGAAAGGTTGGCAAGAGCTTCACGGCGGAGGTAACATTTGGGCAGGGCCATAGGAATGAGCAGGGGTTCCCGAGACAGGACAGGACGGGAAGAGTGCTGGGGGCAGAGGAAACAGCACGTAGCGAAGCTTCTGTATGACACGTCCAGGTGCTGTTCTTGTTCTGTGGCAGAAATCACAGGTGCAAGTGGTTCGAGTCCCAGGTGACACAACTGGAGAAGGAGGTTGGGGCTGGAGTTTAAGGACTTTACACGTTTATCGTTATGAGTTTGGGTCTACCCTGCAGCAAACTAGGAGCCACTACACCAGCACCGTTAGAAAGTGAACTAGGACATTAAAAATAGCTGGACAAGTTGGCAAAAACAGCTGTTGTCCAGATAAAACAGGAAGGGAGGGAACGGACTTGATCACCCCTCCTCTTGGATGTGTTTGTCACACTCCTCACTATCATCAGGTAGTCCCCTGACCTACTTCGAGCCCGACCTGGGCAAGGCTGAAGGGGAGTGAGGATCCATCAGACGTCCTTCACCACCAAAGAGCAGTCTCACAAGGCAGCGAAGACCCAATGCACAGACAAGGCCACCGTAAGTGACGCAGACTCAGCATCACAGGAGAGTGGACGACGAGACAAGGAGCGCTGTGAGTGCAGAGGGCGCGCCCGCCGAGGGCTGGAGAGAGGTCAGACCGCCGGAGAAGAGGCAGGTGCTGAGTGTGATTTAGATGTCCGGTCGGCCCTGCCTCTCAGAGCGCTGCCCCGGGAGGGAGCACCTGCGGCCTCACCTGGGAGCTTGTTAGATATGCAGAGTCTTGGGCCTGCCCCAATCTACGTCAGAGTCTGCAGTCGTAGCCAGACCCCAGGTTAAGTGGATTCACAGTAATGGGTGAGATGGGCTGCTGAGGACATGAGTGGTGGGGGGGTGGGGGCATTTGTATTAAAAGGTAAATGATGTTTTGGGCATTTTCAGAGGAATGAGGGTTGAGGGCTGAGAGTGAGGGGAGAGAAGGTGCCCTCCACATTGCCCCCCATTTCTGCTCAGTCTTACCGATGCTTTTCATGAGGCTATTGTAATAGTCATTTTCCTTCTCCTCCAGGAGGACGTTCACCATAGGCTCCAGGAAGGGACTTGTCAGCAGTGGGTCAGGGATCAGCCTCGAAATCCGAGCCAACACTTCGTCCTCCTCAGGGGCAATCATGTCTTTTCGGACTCCGTTGGTCAAATAGTAAGCATATCTCTTCCAAAAAGAAACCACCAGCAAACAAATGATCATGACTGGTGAACTGTGCCCACTTGCCCACACCCGTCCGCTGCCAGGAGGCCATGTTCACAAAGCACCCTCCCCACCCTTCATCGCTACGTCCTGCTTCCCGGCCTGTGGCTTCACACTCATTGTCTACAACCGCTGGCCGGTTTTCCCCACGACTCTGGAGGGCTTGGCCAAAGCTAGAGAGCTTTCAGCGAGTACAGAGGACCTGTCAAAGGCCATGCAGACAGCACGGAGGACTGAGTCCAAGGACGAGGCAACAGATCTGACGAGCTTCAGGAAGAGGAGGTACAACTCCTTAAATGGACTCAATTCACTCTCAACACTGATCCTCTACAGAGCGGTTCCATCCTTGGGCTTGTAGCTGCCAGTTGGGAAAAAAGTTCCCAAAGACCTGACTTACTGTGGTCAAAGTGGGACTTACTGTAGTTCTTCTAATACAACTGAGGGCTTTTGGGTTTAGAAAAATAACAGATGCTCACACTGAACCAAATGGCCATGTGACCTGGCGACATGGGAAGTGTTGTTTCCTGGGGTTTGCCTCTCAGCGGCTGGACGGCTGAGGGCTCCAGAGGTGAGTCATTCCAGACAGATGACAAGCACCGGGTGTAGGGAAGGATTGGAAATCAGCTTTGAGCATCAGTGCCCATTGTCTGTGGTCAGAAGTGGCTGAGCTCACCTTCCTAGAACTGTAATGGAAGCTGGTTAAACAGAAAAATGTCCAAACTCCCTCAGTCAGAACTGCTGGGGTGGGGAGAGAGGCTGCGGTTAAAATGCAGATTCACAGATCCCTCCTCAGGTAGTCGGGAGTTTTCTTAAACAAGCGAATGTAATTCTAATCTTCAGGCAACTTTGAGAAATGCTGGGTAGCTCATAAGTGCACGGCGACGTTAGCATCAGCCAGACCTGGCCTGAGGCTTGGCTTTGCCTCTCGCTGACTGCAGAACCCTGAGCAAGCTGCTGAATCAGTCTGCAGCCCAGCTTCCACACCTGGACAGCAGGAGTGATCACAGTGCCCAGGTCTTGAATGCAGTCAAGCAAAGGGTTAGCATGGGATTTTGCAAGTGCATAGTGAGTTGTTGTTGTTAATTCTTTTATGATACACTAAACACTCAAACTATTTACTCTAAAGTTTTATTGTTTTTCATTTAAGATAGAGGTTAGAAACTCAAAAGGCTACCTAGAATCAACAGATAACATTAGGAAGTGAAAGTTGGCTGGATGAAAAGATAATGAGGAATGGCGGAGACTGACAGACTGGAGAATGTATCTCTCATCTGAAGGAGGCAGCTACTTCTCAATTTTGAATGTCTTAGTTTTTCAAGAGAGGTTAAAAATCTAGCTTATGTGAGATTTCCCTCATTTTCAAAACACACCAAGAGACCAAATCCAGCGCATAGCAGAGTTGCTAGATGTGTTGGGATATACTTATACTAAAAAATTATTCATTGTTTATCTGAAATTCAAATTTAACTGGGTGTCCTGTTTTGTTTTAATTTTTCAACACTAGGCTATGGGTCACCATTGTGCAACTTAGTTCTCAGAGGACCCAAAGACACTGATTTCTAAGGCTTACTAGGGCATTTACACACACACACACACACACACACACACACACACACACCCTCACTCTGGACTGTCCCAGGCTCTGGACTTTGGTATTTGTAAAATACACCCTGCATTATTCTGCTGTTCTCCCCAGGGCCAGAGTTACTGAGATGCTGATAGTAACATCCAGCAAACTGGGAGAAAAATGTGACAAGAATGTACCTCCAAGTCTGATTCAGAGGGCTTGGCTTCTTGAAGTTCTATTTCCATCTCCTTCTGTAACATCATGTTAATCTGCTCTTCTGGGCTCATTGGTCTGCTGTCTGGGTGGCTCACAGAGGTCACCACTTCCTTCTTCCCGGGTAAGGAGGTCAAGGTGTTGCAGGCCGAGGTGGTCCTGAAAAGAAGATGTGGCTCAGCCCCTGGCTTGCTCAGAGGTTCTGAGGTTATTGGGCCTTCTTTCCCTGGCCACACTAGTGTCCTTCCACAGAAGCCGCCCCTCCTCCATGTCACCTAACAGGAGGCTGTGCCCGTAAGGGACCACCTCTCACATGGAACGCTGCATAGGTGTTAGTAGTGGTTTGCTCAGTTGGTTAATTCGTTTCATTTAGACTCTGATAGTTTGTTAGATTAAGGGGATTTGTGGGGAACACCCACTGGTTCCTGGGTGTCTGGGTTTGCTTTGGAGAGCATGGTTCAGCCTGGTGTCCTGAAACCCCTTGTCTCCACAGGGACAACTTACCTGGAGGGATCCTCTTTGTCTTTGAAGGAGAACTTCACTTTCTTCTTCCTGGGCTCTGATGAGCCTTTTGTTGCTAGAATAGTGGAGAAAGACATCAGTGACGGGCAGTGGCCTTGGGCCATCCTCTGTCCACAGCGATGAGCTCTCAGGACTGTCCCGAAGCACACCAAGGGGGTGTCTTTGGCGCAGTGCGATGAGGCACAAGATGTGGGTTCTGGCCCCACCTGCACTAGTTACCTGTGTGACCCTGAGGAAGTGACTTCATACTCCGGGCCTCAGTTGTGAAATGGGGATGAGCATGCTGTCCCTTCATGCGTACATGTACCAGGGATGAATAACTGCCTACTCGATTCACGATCCCACCGTTACTCTGTTCCTTAAATGTCAGGTGTATTATTGTTTCATATATTTTTTAAATAGACTCAGGCTTTTAAACTTAATATATTTATTTTAAAGGGCATATTATATGGTTATCATAAATAAAAAACAGTATTCTTTGCAATAAATAAAAACAGCATCATTTGCAACAGAGAGTAACTAAGGTAAATTTGATAGATGACATAAAACTCTACTCTGCAGCTTGCTTACGTTTCTGGCCTAAGGAAATTAACAAGGAATAGAGAAGTGTTAATGACACACTGATAGTAAACTGACATTCTGAGAAAATTACAGAGAACCGAAGACTCAAGAAGTATTTCCAGTTCATACTTGAGCTCAATCTACTCCAAATATAATAGTAATAGACAGGATACTCTTTAAAAATTAAAACATATATTGCTGCACATACACCCAGCAAGAACTACTAAAGGAAGCCCTTACACAGATGTATGCGTCCCAGGTGGGGTTAAATCAATGAATACATAAAAAGTCCCACGGTCAGCAGCTTCCAAGATGGCCCCCAGCCCCCTCCCCCAGAGATCATGCCCTTGTGAAATCCCCTTGAATGTGGGCTTGGCATCTCACTCCTAACAAACAGAACATGGCAAAAGTAATAAAATGTCACTTTCAAAACTAAGTTTCCAAAAGACTGTAGTTTCCGTCTTGCTGGCTCTCTCCTCTCTCTTCTTCTGCCCCTTGTTCCCTCGGAGGGAAGCCCGACATTATGGCTGCTGGGCCTAGAGGGCCACGTGGCAGGAAACTGATGTCCATGGGCAACAGGCAATGAGGACCCGGGGACATGAGTGAGCCTGGAGGAGGAGCCTTCCCTGGTGACCTTTAATGGCTATGGCCCTGGCTGACATCTCAACTGCATGCTTGTGACAGACTCTGAGCCAGAACCACCCATTAAGCCGTACCCAGATTCCTGACCCGCAGACTATAAGATAGTAAGTGGTGGTTGTTTTAAACCATTAAGTTTGGGGGTAATTATACGGCAGTCGATGAAAACAAGTGCACAGAGAACAGTGTTTGGTGCATTGTAATGTAAGGTTGGAGGTGTGTGGTAAATGTAAGGTTAGCTATTACAATCATTTCCTTTTCACAGATGAGGAGGCTGAGACTCTCTGAGGCTATTCAGAAGTGGCTGCAGCAAGAGGTGAAGCCAGGACGAGAACCAGATTACACTTCTCCCTCCAAGACCCCGTTCTGAGCTGGTATGGCACAGTGCCACAGATACCTGGCAGCTCTGGAATGACCCTTTCCCTAGGGACATTGATGGTGACTGGCTGGTAGACCTTCAGCAGGTCCTTCAGCTTCAGGTCCTGAGCTGCCAAGGAGTAGTTGTTGGCGATGGAATCGCTGGGTCCACGATGGTGGAGCTGCTCTTTGAAGGGAACAGCCAGGGTCCACGACGTGCGCTGCATCAAGGGGGGGTAAGTGCTGTGCGACATGACAGTCTGCAGGGGAGACACGCAGAGTGAGACACGCAAGGGCTCAGGGTCCTGGCTCTACTCTCATCGAGACTCCTGGAGTCCCGCATGCCTCACGCTGTTTCTGCCTTCTGCAAACTTACTGCGTACACTTTCAGAGTGGATACCAAGTGTACTTCTCTGGCTGGCTTTCCATACACAGTAAGTTTGGGAGTCAGGTAGTTGATTTCTATTGTCTTTATTCCTTATGGACATGGCTATAAAGGAGAAATAATTACTCTCACTTTACAACTGAAGATAAAGAAGTTCAGGGAGTTTAAATAACACAGCACGTAGGTGAGAAGGCCAGGTTCTCACTCACCATTGTACTACTGCATAAGTCTTTCTCCCTCACTGCTCTGGCATTCCCGGTGACAGAGATGACCAAAGCCACGAAAGCCACTCGCCAATCCTGCCTGCCTGCCCCCCACCTGTACTGGCAGAAGATCAGCAGCCAGGTGAACAGACCTGATAGACTTCAGATGGCTCCTCGTTGGCAGAAGCAGGCAGAGGGGGCAGCTCGGGCCGCTTCTGGGAGTGGCTCATGTGGTGTATCGAGTCACTTCTGGGGATCTGTGGGAAGGGAGTAAAATCACCCTTTAGGAATTCTAAGAGGTCCCCAAGCCTCTAGGTTGGTGAGGAGTGAAGAGATCCCATTTTAGGCACAGAGTTCTGCTACACACACTTTTCTCACTCCCCTCTGTGGTGTAGGTCTCATTTTTTAATCATCAGTCTGACTTTCCACCAGCATCTCTTCCGTGGCTACACATCTATGAGCAAATTCATATACTGTTTCTCCAGGGAAGAGCCCAGATTCTAAGGGCACCCCAAGCTGCCCTACCCTGGCTGTGATTAAAAGGGTTTTCCAAAAAGTACTCTTGCATTTCTCATATGCAAAATGCCAAATAGAAATGTACTCATGCAGTAAGTAGCACAGTAAGTAGCACTATATGACATGTGTGCTTAACATAGCAACACTGTGCTTCCTGTAGAAAAATATCACTTAACCATGTGGGTGTTTGAGCCCACCATTCTGTTCAGTGAGTGTGTACCTGGGAGTAAGCCTCAGGTACGCTCTCTGGCACCAGGTGTCCTTCCTGAGCAGAGCTGAAAGTGCCTGCAGAACTGCCCCACCAGGTGCGTGCTCTGTCCTACAATCCAGCCCCTACGTGTGGGGCAGCTATTTCATCTGAGGCAGTGATGGGGATGCTGCAATTTGTTCCGGCACTGGAGGAAAACTTCTGGGCTGGACTTACTGATAGGTGTTGCTGTACAACATGTTAAAATAGTTAAGGGTCCTGGCAGGTGTGGCTCAGTTAGTTGAGCACCGCCCCAGGCACCAATAGGTCACCCAGTTTAATTCCTTGTCAGGGCACATGCCTGGGTTGTGGGCTCCATCCCCACTAGGGGGCGTGCAGGATGCAGCATATCAATGTATCTCTCTCACCTCGACGTTTCCTTCTCTCTCCCTCTCACTTCTTTCCTCTCGAAAATCAATAAAAAACATATAAAAGTAGTCTAAGGGATTTTTAAGGGCAATTCTGACTCTCTGTGACTGTTCGCCTGAGGCAATTATGTCATGCAGGGTAACTGGCAATGGGTAGTGGGTCCAGGAATATGTAAATCAGATGTTAACCAGCCCCACTCCCCAATCAACCCTTCACTGAAGACTCAACCTTGCAAAATAATAACAACAACATCTGCCATTATTTCCAATTATTATGTGCTGGACACGAGACTTCATACCCATATTCTAGCTGAAGAAATGAAGTGTCTGAGAGGAGAGGGCACACATCCTAGCCACACAGAGGTGCTTTAAAACGCACATCACTCCTTATCCCAGCACTGGAAACAGGAAGTTCGTGTACACAAAAAGTTACTTTAGGAATGTGTTGATCTTAAAATTAAACAAACGTGCAAACCATAAACACAGATGCATATTGAGCCTGGGGACTTTAAAAACAGAGTCGTTTCACTGATCTAATGGCCTCATTCAGTGGTTCTCAACAATGGCGGCGCTACCCAGCAGAGCTTTCTGAAACATGGGGTGATCAGGCTCCACCTCCAACAAGAGGAGTTTGGGACCCACAGACCCTGTTACCAGCTGAGAGACCTTGCTTTGTTGGCTTAAATCACTGTCTGTCTCTCTGCTCTTGACCTTGATTTGAAGGATCAAAGAGCTGAGCAGTCATTTCCAAGAACTCCCTCTTCCATTACTGAAATTAAGATCAGACATGTACTGATGAGGTGAATAAAATGAAACATCCAGCATCAACTTGAAAGAAGCCTGGTCATTCCAAGCAGGTGTGATACTACCCAGGGTAGGTTTAGGCAGTAGTACTTCCAGGGATGTGAAGTCATTCATTCATGGTTTCCTTCAGGATCCCAGGTGTACAACAGTTTCCTCATCTGCCTGAAGAGCTGTTTTCCAGGATTGAAAGTTAGGGTTGTCTGTATTCTGTCTTTGCAAGCAAGGTTTTGTGGCCAGTGGAAATCTTTCCCTTGGCCTACCTTATAAATCTGTTTCAAATAAAAATCTTCATTAAAAGAACAGCAAACAGCATTTAAAGTGTGCCTCCGGGCACTTCAGTGTATGACCACCTCGTGGATCTCAGCTCTGACAATGAAGACCCTGGCACCTAGGGTGGGCAGAACTGTTACTTTAACATGGCTCATTTCTGACCACATGTGATGTTGCCTGTCCTTTATAGAGGCCATTCCCAAGTGCTCGCCTGAGGACCTGCTAAGCAGAATCTCGCGAGTCTTAGCTACAAAGGCGGACTCCAAGGCCATGCTCCAAACTTTGTGGATCAGCATCTATGGGGTCAGGCCAAGCCTCTACATGCAAAGACACTCCCAGGTGTTCTGATGTGCAGCCAGTGTTGGGAACTATGGGATGGAATATATGGTCTAAAGAACTTTGAAGTTCAACAGGTGTCTACCCTTGAAATTTCCCCAGTAAAACGTGAGGATTGGACTAAAAAGCCTAATTCAGCAAAAAGCATATTTCAAAGGACATAACACAAAAATGTGATTAGCATACTTGCTCAGTCAAGGAATCTAACATGGCCATTGGTCTGTGATTGAAACATCTCCTTCCCATCCACCCCCAATTCCCCACATGTTGAAAACACGAGTGAAAAAGAAAGAGAAACACCTTAAAATTCATACATACCTCTGGAGATGAACAATCCATGTCACTCATGTTGTGCATTCTAATTGGACCTATGAAAACTGAATAAAGTAATTTCAGCTTCTTCCTCTCCTACCAGTGGCTCTGAAATTCACACTTCCTTCTAGCATAATGGGGATGACACAGAGAATGGAACTTTCCTGATGTTCTGAACATTCTGTTCGCAGGGCTGCCTCTCTGAGGTCACAAACTTCAGCCCCCTGAGGAGTTCCCTGGTGGAAGAGGAGAGCGAGGGGAGCTGGCATAAGGGGGCAGCACTGGGGTTCTGCAGGGCTTTGTGCTGTGACTTCAGCGCCCCTTGTGGTGGCCACTCTTCCTTCCCACTGAGCTTCTCCTATTGGACCTTTTCCAGGAACACACCGAGTTCACTGGAAAAACTGAAGTAGAGTTACATATTAAAACAGGGAATGGGGAGGGGGTACCCCCGAAACAATATCCCTGGGAGCCTGAACTCTTCTGTCTTCTCCTCCCTGGGCTGTTTTAACACTGGAGGTGCTGTACCCAGGGTTCTGTGTCTGTTGCTAAGGAAGGAGAGGAGTCTGCTGTGCAGTCTGCTGTGCCCACATACAAGACTGGGCTTGACTTCACTCAGTGTCCTAGTGCCTCCCTTTGCCGGGTCCAGCCAGGCAGCAGGAAATGCGGTGACAGAAGGGAAGATAGGAGGGTATTTAGCAATGATCCTGGAATGTAGAGGTGAGTGGTATTAAGGGACTGTGCCTTTGTAATTAGAATCTGAGGTAAACAACAAAGAATTTTTTAGCATAAGTATGTCCGATTCAACAGTTGAACATACTAATATCAAAAAGTTATGCTGCTTACCGGAAATTGAAATGAAACTGGGTGTCCTGTGTTTTTATTTGCTAAATCTGGCGATACAGAGAGAAGAGGTCCACCTCTGTGGTGTGAACAGTTTACGGTTTCCATTTGTTGCTGGACAATTTTCCCCAATCCTATTTCACCCAAGCCCAGTGCTCCTGGCCGGTCTGTCCTGAGGCCTGAGACGGCTGCTTAGCCAGAGGAAGTAAATGCAAAGACACAGAAGAGACCGCACACGGATTTGTTTCACTGGCCCTCAAATGGTTACCCAGAGCCATATCCTGATGCTGTAGAGAGATGCTAAGACCTGGCCATCAGGGGATAAAGAATGCATTGGAGGAGGCAGCCCAACACAAGGGAAAGCAAAACCTGGTTGGCCCTCCAAAAATGACAGGTGGAAGGAATTAGGGGATTCCCAGAGGCCTCCGTAGATGGCACCCTTGAGAAAAATCCCAGTGGAAGCCCCAGTTCAGCTTTTCAAAACAACACTTGCTAGGCCTCAGTGGTTCTCAATCTCCCTAATGCTGCGACCCTTTAATACATTCCTCATGTTGTGGTGACTTACAACCATAAAATTATTTTCGTTGCTACTTCATAACTGTACTTTTGCTACTTCTATGTCTTAGGCGACCCCTGTGAAAGGGGTTGAGAACTGCTGCCCTAGGGGATAATGGTTGTAAAGTTTTGTTCTGAAGCAAAACAAACAAAAACATTTTCGTGAGTGGGACACCCATAATACTGCAGCTGAACCAAGTGCAGGAAGCCACAAGGACTGACCTGCACATAACAATTTAGGGTATCTGTCCATGTCCTCTAATCTCCACCTACTATTAGCTCCCCTTTCTCGCTGTTGTGGAGTCAGAGCCAGATCCCTTAGCTTAGTATTATTATGTTTATCCCAAGTTTGTTTTTCTGCCCATCAGCCTGATCACTTCCGAAACAGGAGTTGGTAGCAGTGTACCATCTCATATTTTGGAGCTTGTGCTCCAGCTGGGTTCTGAGTTCTGTACAGCCAGCCCTCGCTGCAACCCTGTGGCTGCTTCTCTCTGCCTGAAGAGCTCTTTTCCAGGATGCTGTGGACACAAGCCACGGAAGAGTACAGTCAACATAGGTCCCAGGATGGGAAGTGCCTGAGAACTAACTGCGCTAGCAGGCCAGCGCTCAGGTCTTTTATGTTACAGATAGAGCTGAGGCTCCGAAAGGTCAGGGATACAAGGTCACAGAGTGAGTCAGCCCTGGGACTAGAGCCCAGGAGTGTTGTCTCCCCAGCTCATTGTCTTCACTAGTATGCTCTGTGGCAGTGGTTCTCAACCAGGGGCGACTGTGCCCCCCACCAGCGGACATCTGGCAACGCCTGGGGGCAGTTTGGTTGTCACAGCGGGGGTGGAGGGAAGGGGAGTACTAGTGGCATCTAGTAGGTGGAGGCCAGGGATACTGCCAGACTTCCTGCGGAGCAGGACAGCCCCCGGACACAGCCCTTTCTGGCGCAGTTAGCAGCGCTAGCACTGGGAAACCCTGCGCAGGGCGATCAGCCAGGGACCTGTGTGCTGGCGCTGCGGGACGGAGGGACGGGGCTAGACTCTCCTCTATGAAACATGGGGACACCCATCTACTAGGGCCCTACGGCTCTCACTAGTTCAAGCCGCTTGCATCTGAGAAGTAATGCTCAACCCCCTCCACCCCCGGCGGAATCCTACTTTAGGTACCCTCAGTGCCACAGATGCTTCCAGAAGAGCTGCCCGTCCACCTGTCCCAGCGGTGACCTGAGCACTCTCGGGTCACCACAGGGGGATAGGAAAGGCAGCTTCCTGTCAGCCTCAGTTTCCTTATCTGCAAACCTCTGGGGGTTCGTCCGGGTGGTTCCAAAAGGCTGTGGGCTGGGGGACGGCATCGCGCTCTAACGTGGACACTTTGTAGAGGCGGGGTGTGGCCGCGGGGGCGGGGCTGCGGACCGGGGGCGGGGCCTAGGAAGGGCGGGGCCTCGGGGCGGGGCCGGCGGGCTGCGCGCTCACGCCGTCGCCTGCGCACTGTGTCGCTTCCTTCCTGGGCTCCTCCCGCTCCCTCGGTTGCACCTGCGACCGGGTGAGCGCCGCCGCCCAGATCAGGTGAGAACGCGCAGCTGGGGCGCCGGGTGCCGCGTGCCCTGCGGGCCGGACCCCTGCCGGCCGGCCGGGGGGCGGAGCGCGGGGCGGGGCTGAGGCGTCGGGGTTCCCAGCCCGCAGCCCCCGGCAGATCTGGGAATACAGTGACTAATCCTCCGCGGCCCTGGGACGGGCTGGGAGCGCGCGCCCGCGCACGCCCGCAGTTACCGCCGGGGTGATGGCAGTGTCGCCAGCCCCGTGCCACCCCGAGACCCCGCCCCGTCCGGGGAAGCCAGGTAGAGGAGTCCCCAACCCCTTCCTCGGGTTTAATGCAAACGGTGCCCTCCTCCCCGGGGCCCTCTTCTCTCCCGAGGGCCCCCTCCCCGTCACTGCAGAGTCCCCCAAGTTCGTGCTAGGGTACTCGACTCCTCCTGAGCCCCCCTTTCTCGGCCCCTGGGTCGTCTGCCGGAGCCCCCTCCCCTGGGAGCCCGGTGAACGGCGCCGGCCCCGGCGTCTCCGAAGGGGGCGGTTGGCGCAGCAGTTCGCCCGTGGGCGGGGCCGGGGGCTCCGAGAAGGCGCGTGAGCGCTCTGGCCCCTGGCACGCCAACCCACACCTGCCCGATCCAGCGCCCCAAACCAGTTCCCCACACCGGCCCTGTGACCCCGAGTTTCCCAGGCCCCGGGAGACCAGTAAGGGGAGCTGGGCTTTTTCCTGCTCGTTGCAGAAATGAGATTAGGGTAGATGAGTGCCCGGAACATCCCACAATCAGGGTCGATGCCCGCTGCAGCTTCAAAGACAGGATGTGGGTGTGGGGCGTTGGTCCTCCGCTCTCCAAGGGGTTCCTGTTTCACAGAAGGGATTGTACGGAGGATCTGAAGCTGAGATAGTTAAAATGTGCTTTAATTTGCTGCTAGACGTTAATAGACACACACACACTTAGCATGTGGGATATTTAGTAAAACAAATATGTGAGATCGGGACAGTCCTGGAAATTCCAGGCTGTTGAGTCAGAGTATAATTCCAGTCAGTTTCCTTTATGTCTCTTTGGCACCTTGTTAAGAGGTGGAGACCTACACACAAGTAAATAGAGAATGATTTATGGCACAGGGCAGTTGGGAGCCAGCCAGTTTGGGTAGAAAATACAGAAATTGGCCACCATTACTGTTGTTTGAGAAAGGCTTTCCGAGGGGGGTGTGGAGGGGAGGCAGTAGGACTTGAAATAGTATATTCAGCTTTCTTCAATGTTCTTTTCAGTATTTTGTCAGGGCAAAAAATAAACCTAAGGTCTCAGAGATAATGCCATTAACATTTTGTTAGATGTCCTTCTAGACCTTTTATTATGAGATATGTACATAAAATATTTATGTAACCATATGAAGTATTTTATAATTTTTTTTCACTTGTGGGCATAATTTTATGTTACTGAATAGCTACATTATCATTTTAATGATTGAACAACACTCCACTGTATGAATTTATTATTGAACCAGTTTCCTACTAATGGATGGTTAGCTTCTTTCCATTGTTTGCTATTTATTATCTATTATGATCAGGGAGGTGCTACACACCTGTTTGGTACATCTTGGTATACCTGTTTGATGATTTCCTCCATGTTCCTGGAAAATCAAGTGTTGGATCAAGGTGTGTGCAGTTTGAAATTTTGATAGATAGTGCCAGGTTACCCTCCATCTGCGTGCCCACCATCAGTGCGTGGAGATAGTAGAAGCTTTTGTTGGGCCAGGGGGGTGAGACCACTAATCATTTAAGAAACTTTTTCTTTCCTCCAGTGACAACGAGAGACTGGGTGACAGGAGCGATTCGGCTGCGCTCCACACTGGAGAGCTTACCGGTAGAAGAATTAATTCCTAAGAGTCTGAAATGTTGCAGAATGGCCAAAGAGGAGACCCCAAGTATCTCCAAGGACTTGCAGGAGTTGTGGAGGAAGCTGTCTTTGCTCATAGACTCTGTCCAGAATAACTCAAAGGTCAGTTTCCAATTAGTGTGCATAATGGAAAATCCCAAGGTAACAATAGCTTAACCACTGTGGAAAGCTCTCTCTCAAGTAGAAAAAATCTGGAGGTAGGTCAGGAATCTTTCTAGCTTGCCACCTTGCCATATCTAAGTTGTGACTTTCAAACTCACTGTCTAAGATGGAGCATCAGCCATCAGATCTATGCTCCAGGCAGTAGGATGAAGGGGAGGGGAAACACAGGGCTGTGTTCTGGCCAACTTCTGCTCACAGCATTTTCATCCGCAGCAAGTACGTAACCTGTTCCATGGATACTTCTGTTTAAGGACACCGTATTTAGTTCGTGGGGTAGAGGCACTGACGCGAGCGCACAGCCAGCGGCAGCGTGGCTCTTCCCGAATGAGACTTATCTCACACGCTTCGCTTTCTCTGTCAGGACATTCACTGCCATTTTACACACAGGGCATTTTAAATGGTGACACCACCAACAAAATCACCTAGAAATGTGAAAAAAAAAGGTAGCACTAAATGGACCACGGAAAGGACAATTGCTTAGAGAAGGCAAGTGTCACCTGGTTTGGCCTCAGCTGGGCATGTGCGTCAGGCGACACATTTTTTGCTGCTTTCTGCATATTTACAAAAGCAAGTATGATACCAATTTTAGTGAGTAGGTGATTTTGCAAATCCACAATGAATAGAGAATGACTGTATATGAATTAGCCTTACGAAGCACTTTAGGCCCAACACGGGCTAGGTATTTGGTGTGTCTTATTTAATATTTACGTCTACCTTCCGAGGTAGGTCTTCAAAGCGTATGAACTCAAGCTTCTTGGCATTTCGTGCCTTCTTCATCTTAGATCCTCATCCATGGTCCTTGGGATGGATTTGGGCTACGTGACGTCCTGGCCACCGACTCCCAGGACGATGGGGCACATTATCAGTCGGCTAAGTCCCGAGGTAGAGTAGTTTCTTTTAAAAACTTTCATTGAATTAATATGAATTGTGAGGCCCAGATTCAGAAGAGCTTAAGGACTGGAAGTAACACAGTCCTGCTGGGTCCCACGCACACGGTCTCCAAGTCCTGCCAAGTCTCTCCGCCACTGCCCTTGGGGACCGTGCCCTCCGCTGCCCCCTGAGTCAGTGTGGCGGCTTGCCCGAGTGCCCGCCCGTCTCCTAATGGCTTCTTGCACAGGATGGCCGGGTTCTTCTTTCTTAAATTATTTTTCGACTATCACAACCTGCTCAAGGGCCAACATTTACTTGCCATCTTTTTCTTCCTGTTTTTTTTTTTTTTTTTTAACTTTTCAGTGGAAATATGTGAGCCATGTATGTAATTTTAAAGTTTCTAGTCATCACATTAAAAAGCATAAAAAGAAACAGGTGAATGAAAATAATTTAATAATATATTTTATATAGCCAAGTATATCCAAAACAATCTAATTTCAACATGTAATCAATATAAAAAATCTTCAGTGAGACATTTTATATCCCTTTTTCATATACTTAGAGCATTCAATTCAGATGCTAAATTTTTGTTGGAAATGCTTGATCTCTATTCAGATTTCATAAAATTTTCAGTTAAAAATGTATTTGAGACAAACCTGACTTACTTGAAATGTAATTAAAAACTTTCCAATGACTGAATCAAATTTCAATTTTTAAATTTAAATTCCATTGAAAATCCAGCTCACCAGCCACACCAGCCGCATTTCAAGTGCTCAGGAGCTACCGGTGGACACCCTGGTGTGGGCCCTCATCCGCTCCTCCCCACTGCTCACCGGGACTGCTGTTTAGAAGGATCAGAGCAGCTGTCAGATGATCCTGGGGACTGACTAAGGATCTGTGTGCTGGAGCCTGAGACAAGCCAAGAGCCAGCCCGCTCCTGTGACCCTCTGCTGGTCTCGCCTCTCTGGCCTTTGGCAGTCCTACCAGGAGAATCTTGCTGTGCTCTGATACTAGAGTGTCAGAGCTGGGCAGTCTAAGCCAGAGGTGACTCCTGTTCCCTCTGACTGGAGAAGCTGCTTAGCCAGAGTTTGGGAGCTTTGGTCGGAAGGAGCTGCTGGGCAGGGCAGCCAGTGGGCACGTGCCATTCTGTGGTCTGGCAGGATGTGTCTGGCCGAGGCGTTCCCAGGAGGCAGTCCTGAGCTTCAGGCCTGCGGCTGTGGTCTCCAGAGTGGCCTGTTCTGGTTAAGCAGAGTGAGCCCTGCACTCTGGTCACCATCACACTGAGCTACCAGCCCCCCGGCCCCCAGACGCCCACCGTTTGAATCACTTGGTGAACTGTCTCTAGAAGGCACATGCGTTCCGGGTCATGGTACTTGTGACCACTGCAGCTTGAATTATGTCTTAACCCCAGCTGCTGGCCAACAATGAGACACAGGAAGGACCAGTTCAACTGGGAAACATTCTGGAATGATGGGGCCTTTCACGTGTCAGTGCTGAGGACAGCTGGCATGGGGCCTCGGGAGAAGGAGACGCCTGTGGAGTGGCCCTGGCCAGCTCTGCCCTAGGCGGCCCCTCCACTGGGCTGGACCACAGAGTGCTGTGCTGGGGGAGGGAGGGGCCCCTTGGTGCCACGGCACACGCCTGCAGTCGTGGGCCCGCCGTGCTTTCCAGGCTGACGACAGGAACACCTTCCCAGCGAGGTGGCAGTCACGGAAAGCGCTTGATATGCAGAGTGGAGTTCTTCCTGCTTGACTTTGCCACTGGGAGCTGTGTGACTCTAGGTCACCCATGTAGTCCACCCTTTCTCACACCCCAGTGGGTGCACAGACCACCCGGCTCTTACTGAAAAGTAGAATCTGATGCACAGGTCTGGGGCAGCTGTGCTGAGGGTGTCTGCTGAGGGGCGTGGAGTGGTCCTCCTTTCACAGGCTTGCGGTGGGGTGGGGCTCAGACTTGCCCTTTGTGGGCAGTTGCCCTGGGCTGTCCATTTGATGACTCAGGTCTTGGGAGGATTATTGTGTTGATTTCCTGCTTAGGAGTCTTTCAACTCTGGCTCTTCTCTGCCCACAGGTGGTTGCCTTTATGAAGTCTCCAGTGGGTCAGTACCTGGACAAGCACCCTTTTGTAGCCCTCACTTTGCTGGTGTTCGTGGTGGTGTCAGCGGTTCCGGTTGGGTTCTTCCTGCTCCTTGTGGTACTTACCTCCCTGGCTGCGTTTGTGGGAGTCATATTACTGGAAGGTATCCTGCTCAGTTATTTGCCCCCTTGGAATAATGACACAATTGGGAGGACAGTCTTGGGCATCTGCAACTCTGGTCAAAGATCTCTGTTCTTGTCCAAATCACACCGACCAAGGCACTTGTCAGAACAGGTAAAACAGACTCTGGCATCTGCATACAGTTTGTTACCTTCACTGAGCCTCAGGTTTCTCATTTGTAAGACGGGGATATAGTAATAGCCTCTATGGGCTGTTGTAAGGGTTGAAACTGACAGTTTCATTAAGTATCTAGCACAGTCCGTGGCAGAGTGGCATCTCCATGATGCTGACTAGTACCGTTAAACGGAGAAGCCGTTCACCCCACAACTGGTTACTGAGCTCCCACTGCCTGCCAGGTGCCATGCCCAGTGCGGAGGTTCCTCTCCCCCCCTGTCCCCCCGAAGTTCCACCACCACCTCTCAACTGCTTCCTGTGTTGCTAAGTCAGCATTACCGAGAAAACACCTCTGGTGCAGTTTGCCTTTTCAAATCAGATCACAAACCACCACAGGCTGGCCATAGAGAGGCTGCCACTGGGTCAGGCGACAGCCTCTGGTCCAGCCTGTGGCTTCCCAGAGCTAAGAGCGCCCAGAGTGGTTTCCCTGCCCCGGGGGCTGTGGACAAGGCAGTCTGCACTTGCAGGAGAAGGTGGGCATGGTAGGCGATGAGCCAAGTACATCTGGCAGAGGGTCATTCAGCAAATATCGGCGGGCAGATGGACAAATGAATGTATGGACGGGGGAATGAATGAGCACCAACAAAAGTGAATTTAGAGAGAAAGTCGGGGTCCACTTCATTTTGGTGGTATGCAAAGCTTTACAGAACACAGGACTTTAAGATGTGTGATAAATTTATTTCCTTTGGGCAAGGAAGGCTTTCTAGACAGGAGGAACAGCGTGGGCAAAGCCTTTAGAGCCATGGTTCTCGAACTTGAGTCTGCATAAGTCTTGGCTCTTGGAAGTGCTGGCTTCAAGGCTCACCCAGAGACGAGTCTGGAGTAGGGGCCAGAAGTACGAATGTTTGGCCTCCCCGCTGCACTGATTCCGATACAGTGGTTGCTGGCCACACTTTGAAAACCTTGATCTGGGGTTTTGGAAGTCTTCATGAAAAGGCAGCTCATTGTTTATGTGCTGTGGTTCCCTTCCTTCTCAGGGTCCGTCCCCGGACCGGTCACCATGGCCATGGGGCGGAGCCTGGGCTGCCCGTCCACCCCCAGGCGAGGCAGCATGTCACAGCTGTGCGTTGGAAGGAGGGCTTTTGTCAGGAGGGAGGCAGGGAGAGCTGGGCCACAGAACTGCACAGTCATCACACGTAGAGTCAGGCCGTGGCCGTGTCAGCACTCGGAGGTACTGATTATTTTGCCCTTTTCACAGATGAGTTAAAGTGAAGTCCCACGAGGCCCCAGGCCGCACCGCGAATGACTTAGCTACAGTGTTAGGCTCAGCACGTCTGCAAGTCCGTGCTCCGCCACTGCAGCCGTGGCTGTTTTTCCCTCAGACCCCACTTGATGAGAAATGTATTTTCCACCTTTAAAAAGTCGAAGTTAACTGTTGTTTCAAATGCCGTGGCCCAGGGTCTGGCAGCTTTCAGCTGTTTCGGGTGAATGCTGCTGACAGCCTCTCTTGTAGGACTGGTCATCTCCGTGGGCGGCCTCTCCCTGTTCTGTGTCCTCTGTGGCTTGGGCTTCGTGTCACTCGCCATTTCAGGGACCATCATCGTGTGCTACGTGGTGGTTTCCAGCCTCATCAACCACTGGTTTTCTTCCGGGTGAGTACCTGTCAGTGTAATAATCTCATCTTTTCCATGGGGGTTGTCACAGGTAATGTCCTCACCCACTCTGTCTCGAAGCAGAGTGGTCAGAGGCGGTGCCTCGTTCCCCATGCGCGTCAGGCATCCCGTGGGATATACCACGAGCCTCAAACACAGCTGCTGGCACCATCCACATACGACAGCCATCTTGTTGTCATGGCAACCCCCCCGAGGTAGTTATTAATTAGTTCCTTTAAAAGGACGTTCATTATTTACAGAAATTCAAATTAAGGTATTTTTCTGGGATGAAGGGGGACCATCCATGGTCTGTCTGGATCCCTCTGCTCTTCAGACTGAGTGTCTCATCACAGTGCGTGTGAGTCATGTGTGAGCACATGGAGGTCGCTCCCACAGGAGGGCCCCCAACTGCCAGCTCCTCCCGGGCCTCCCCGTCGTTAGCTGCTGGAGGGAAAACCACTGCTGTGGTGAAGTGCTGTCTGCAATGGGCCACTGTCCCAAGGGGTTTCCAAAGGTGATTTTTTAATGCTTGGATTTTGTCCTTTCGTCCTTGGAGACTTTGAATCTGAGTCACAAGTGGGGTGTGACCCCAATGAGCTTCATTTAAGCTCTTGCTGAATTGCTGGTGGTCGCTAGTACCCACTGAGCACTTGCTGTGCCAGGGACGTTACACACTCTCCAGACTTAGCTCATCTCCTCCTCACAGACACCCTGCGAGGCAGGTGCTAGCCCCATCCTGCCAATGGGACAGGAGGCCGCGCCCCAAAGAGTGGCAGGATGGGCTGAGATCCAGATCAGTTCATGCCAAAGCCTCTTAACCAAGATACAAATGACTGCACAGCAGGGGCTGGCAAACACTTTCTGGGAGGGGCCAGAAGTGGATTGTTCAGATACTGAGACGCGCAGTCTTGTTGCAAGTGCTCAGCTCTGGTCTGTGCTGTGGGAGCCACCCAGACAGCCAGCAAATGGAACAGATGTCGCTGTGTCCCAGTCAGACCTTATTTACAGACGTGGGCAGTAGCTGGATCTGGCCGAGGCCCACGGGTACCAACCCCTGCTCTCAGAGAACTGATGTGCCGAATTTTGTTTTTCTGCACAATAGCCCTTGAGCTCAGTTGATGGCCCTGGAGCTACATTCAGCTTCTCATAAATTGCTTTGATCCCTGTCAGTCTCAAAGGAGATAATAGGAGAAAGCCTGGTCTGTTTGGCTTCTTGAGGCTGATGCTTCTGAGCCCAGACCCTCCCTGCTGGGCCCTGCTCTGCTGTCCCTCAGGAAGCAGCAGAATTGGAGCACCACCTGTTGATCAGTGAAGAGGCTGGAAAGGTGCTCAGGAGTTGTCCTTGGTCTGTCTCCTCCTCTTCCTCCCAGACCAGGCGCTCGGACCCACGGTTCTCTCCGTGGCGGCGGTTCTCCACCCATTGTCCCCAGGACCCATTTACCTTCTCAGAAATAATGTGTCTTTCAGAGGGTTTTTGTTTATAGGGTTCCAGCATATTGATAATTATTCAAATGGAAATTGTAACAGAAACTTGAAAAATAGTTATTCATTTAAAAAGAACAAGCTCGGCCGGCCAGTGTGGTTCAGCAGTTGAGCGACCCATGCACCAAGAGGTCGCTGGATGGATTCCCGGTCAGGGCACATGCCCAGGTTGTGGGCCTGATCCCCAGTGTGGGGCATGCAGGAGGCGGCCAGTCGATGTTCTCTCTCATCGATGTTTCTATCTCTCTCTCCCTCTCGCTTCCTCTCTCTCTAAAATCCACAAAGAAAAAAATAAAACAAAAAGCACAATATTCCCCACTGATAGAAAGGACATATTTTTATGGAAAGTAGCTGTTTGCAGTACAAGATGAAAGCAGTGAGTGGCTGTCCCAGGTTCTGCAGAGCTTCACCATCTGCCCGGAGGTGCGGGCAGGCTCCTGGCATCGGCACTCCCTGTGTGATGCGTTACTCTGGTCAGAGTACTTGAAGACCCCAGCTCACAAGTGCGTGGTTGGAACGAGAGGGGATGCGTCTCAGACGACAGGGATGCTCTTTGGTAGAGCACCACAACTCGATAAGTGGTGGCTTCTTAACGGTTAATGGACGTGTGAACTTTTTGTACAGCAAGTCCTCATATAAGGTCATCGATGGGTTCTGAGACGTTGAGGGAAGTGTGTGAAGCCAGTTTTACCAGAGGTGGTGATGTAACCGAGCGCATGTCCCTGTAAGCACAGGTGCAACGCGATGGCCTGCCGTGCTGTGTTATATTGAAGCCCACTGGTCTAGCTCACGCTTTTCGTAGATTGAGCTCGACTGCACACGACTTGGTGACGCCGTGCTCCAGTCACGGGAGGACATGGGTTCACAGTTGTGCAGCTCTCCCCAATACACTGAAAACTCGAGGAGGACGGAGAAGACGTGCTGTATTATCATGAAAGTAGTTGTTGCCTGACTCCCTTACACTAGTGAATTCTTCAAAACTCGAAACCGGTAACTCTCTTGTTAAATGATCCAAAGATGGGGGGAGAAGAGGAACTACCCACTTTATTCCATGATGTAAATGGAATATTGACCCTAAAACAAAAGACAACACAACTAAAATTTTTAAGAAAGCAAACAAAACTGTAAGATGTTCTTGTGAAAACTGAGTAAGCAATCTTTTGAAGAAGCACGCAGACCTGCCCCGTGTAGAGACTTTGACAAGGACCGGCCCTGCTGCGCTGGCGGGGCATCTGCGGACCGCCCGGGGCCTGCGGTCTGGGGGAGGGGAGCCTGTACGGCCACCGGTCACCCAGTCACTTACACACGTCCCACCAGGTCTCCCAAAGCAGCCGGGCGTGTCTGGCCTCCTCACATCTCTCCTAAGGGAGATAAGGAGTCCTTCCCAGTTTCTTGTTATCAGGTGGGAATGCTTTGGCGGCAAGTAATGAAAACCAAAGCAGATAACAGCTCAAACGAGCAGGGGTTGTTTTTATGGCAGAACAGAAAGCTGGAGGTGGCCCAGGGCGTCCTCAGCCACTCTGGAGTCCCCGCATGCCAGGCACCTTTTGCCTTTGTGTTGCCATCTGGAGCCATTTGGTCTGTCACTCAGCTCTGGCTGCACCAGCTAATTAAGGCAGGACAACGGGAGGGAAAACGAGTCTGCCCTCACCAGTTGAGTCTGGCCCTTTCTATCAAGTACGTGAGCATTTTCCCAGGACCACCCCCCGTCCCTCCCCAGCCAACCCCCTGGCTAGACTTTTGTCAGATGGACACTCCAAGCTGGAAGAGTGGCCAGGTGGTGAAGTGTTGAGTTTGCTCAGTGTCTGAAGTGAGACCTCACGAGGAGATGCACCTTGGGAGTGTTTGTCGGCTGAGCTCTGGTGGGCGTGGGTGTCAGTGCTGGCAACACTGCTTGGGATTCTGAGATAATCCGCAGATCCGGTAAGTTAACACCCTTAGCACTACCTCCCCTTCCGCCTCCCTCTGAAACCTGCCATCACGGGGACTAAAAAGACCTCCCTGCTTCTCTTCCCCACCTCTGTGCTGTTGATGTCATCAAGAAACAGTCGACTAATTGGAATCCGAAGATGTGGGTCTGAATCCCAGCTCTGCCATTTTTTAGCTGTGTGATCTTAAGCTGTTTAACTTCTCTGTTCTCAGTTTTCTTTTTCTCCTTTCATTTTAAATTCTCTCTTTTTTTTATCCTCACCCGAGGACATTTTTCCATTTTTTGTTCAGGTAGAGTGGGAGGGAGAGAGAGGAACACAGAGAGAGAGAAACATCGACGTGAAAGGAACACATCGAGTGGCTGCCACCCGCACAACCGACCAGGGCCGGGGACAAACTGCAACCGAGGTACGTGCCCTTAGCGGGAACCGAACCCGGGTCTCTCAGGACCGCAGGCCGACGCTCTAACCGCTGAGCCAAACCGGCCAGGGCTAAATTCTCTCTTTTTAATTGATTCTAGAGAGAGAGAAAGGGAGAGGGAGAGAGAGACAGAAACATTGATTGGCCACCTCCTGTATGCCCCCCACTGGGGATCGGGCGCACAACCCGGGCATGTGCCCTGACCGAGAATCTAACCTGTGACCTCTTGATGCATGGGTCAATGCTCAACCAGTGAGCCACACCGGCTCGTTTTCTTTATTTTTTAATTTGTTGATTTTAGAGAAAGAGGGGAAGGGAAAAAGAGAGCAAAACATTGATCTGTTGTCCACTAATTTATGCACTCATTGGCTGATTCTTGTATGTGCCCTGACCAGAGATCAAACCTGCAACCTTGGCGTGTGAGGAGGATGCTCAAACCGCCTGAGCTCCCCAGCCAAGGCTCAGTTTTGTTATTGGTGAAATAGGGCTTCTCCTTGCTCTGCCTTTCTGCCTGGATTGTTGTGAGGACACAGGCAACAGCAGCAGAGAGCACAGGATCCCCGTGAGGAGAGGGAAAGGGCTGTCATCCCTTCTCCAGCTCAGTCATTTTAACTTCTGTGCCCTCAACTCTTCTCACCTGTAAAATTGGCGCAGCCTCAAGTCTGGTTACAAGGAGAAGCTAAAAGTGAACTAACAAAGAAGGTCACATGTTCAGCTGTGTACGCTGTCAGCACTACTCTTTAAAGAGGCCCTAGAGCTAACCACTTCCTCTTGCTGTCAAACAGACCACTGATACCAGACTCCAGCGGGGACTGCCAACTGACTGTGAAGCCCGCGGGCTTGGAGGGGCGCTACCAGGAATGAGCAGACGGCGGAGCTGCAGCTTTCCTCCCGGCATCTCCGGAGGCTGGGATCACACATGCCTTTGGGGTTGTGACTCGGAGGGCACTAGGTGGTCAAGCACTCCTTGGGGGGGTGTCCCGGGCTTTTTCACTTGTGAGTAGGGTCCTGCGGTAGCCACTTGAGAACCTCCCAGGCTCGGCCGCGCCTCCCGCCTCTCCCCTTCTCCCCAGTGATGCAGACTGGATCCTGGCAGGGCCCTAAGCCTGGCGACATGACCCCAAGGTCGACTTGACACAGGATCTTGTATCCAAGGGCCCAATTTGGGGTAATTGAGGATTTTTCTTTCTTTTTTTAAGAAATGAAAGAAGCTGTTTATTTCTCCACTCATTTGAAACAAGAGTGGGGGTGGGAAACATCCAAAACATAACCAGCTCTTCTGTTTTATTAGCCTTTTATCAGAAAGAGCAGCAGTATTGGACAATAATGGACTCTCAAAGTTGGAAAACAGAGTCCAAACTCAATTTTATAGTCGAGCATTTTTGAGGAAGTCTGTAGGAGTAGCACCCACTGCTGAGTCCTGTTAAGCTATTACTCTTTGCACTTGATACTTTGTATTTTGTTAAGGAACTTGCCCTGTTAAGCCACTTAGAAAAGTTCTGTGAACATACTAAAGGGCTACAGAAATTTAAAAAATCCTGTGGTATTTCTACTTAAGTGGTTTATTTGCTGTGGTATTTTATTCAATAAATACTTGTTTAGATGAGCTTTTTTTCTGTCTACATTCTTATTTAATGTATCACAAAAATATATATTTTAGAGAGTAAGGAAAATGACCAAGGGTGAAATGAAGCATGTCTTCAATACGGACGGTCAGTATCAGGTGGTGACGACAGAAAAGTCATAGTGTGGGGACAAAACCTGGAGCCAGCGATAGCTCCATTCAGTAAGAAATCACGTGCTCTGACAGGAAGACAAGTAGCAAACCATGAATTGTCCTCTGAACAGCAGGCCAAAGGGCAGGAACTGGAGATGGAGAGAATTACAAAGAGGAGAGACAAAGATAAACATTCCTCAAGCTACCCAGTTCCTTTGCTGAAATGGAAGGAATATGGGTCAGCCTCAGGCTCTCACTTTTAGGTGGACTTGGACATGCTGGGCCGTAGGGTCACTGGTGCCTGATGAAGCAGCCATCCGAGCTGTCCAGTCAGTGGTGTCTGTTTTATCATCTTTAGTTAATGTTCGCTTTTGACCATCTCCATAGACATCGCCAACAGCTCCTTTGGTATTGCCATCTCTTACTCTGTGACACCCACATTATTGTGTATAAAAATGTGACCAACTTCTGGATGTTGATTTTGTATTCTGCTACTTTGCCGAATTCATTTATTAAATCAATTACTTTTTTGGTGGAGTCTTCAGGGTTTTCTGTGTACATCATGTCATCTGCGAATAATGATAATTTTACTTCCTCTTTTTCAATTTGGATGCCTTTTATCTTCTCTGATTGCTAGGGCTACGACTTCCAGTCCTGTGTTGAGTAAGAGTGGTGTAAGTGGACAGCCGTGTCTTCTTTCCGTTCTTATGGGAAACACTTAGTTTTTGCCCATTGAGTATGATGTTGGCTATAGGTTTGTCATATATGGCCTTTATTATGTTGAAGTGTGATCCCTCTATTCCCGCTTTGCTGAGAGTTTTTATCAAAAATGGGTGCACGATTTTGTTGAATGCTTTTTCTGTATCTACTTATGTGATCATGTGATTTTTCTTTATTTTGTTTATATGATATATCATATTTATTAATTTGTTAATATTATATTGGCCTTGCATCCCCAGAATAAATCACACTTGGTCATAGTGTATGATCTTTTTAATGTATTGTTGGATCTCATTGGCTAATGTTTTGTTGAGGTTTTACTATCTATGTTCATCAGGGAGTTTGGCCTGTAATTTTCTTTTTCTGTAGTGTCTTTATCTGGTTTTGGAATTACGATAACGCTGGCTTTGTAAAAAAGAGCTTGGTAATGTTCGTCCTCTTTAATTTTTTGGAACAGGTAGAGGAGGATAGGTTAGTTCTTTGCATGTTTGATAAAACTCTCCTGTAAATTTATATGGTTCAGGACTTCTGTTTGCTTGGAGTTTTTATTTATTTATTTTTTATTTTTTGAAATTTTTTTATTACTGCCTCAATTTCATTAGTTGTTATAGGTTTTCTCATTCTTCCTGATTGAGTTTTGGAAGATTGTATGTTTCTAGGAATTTGTCCCTTTTGTTCATGTTGTCCAGTTGGTTGGCATATAATTGTTCATAGTGTTTTCTTACAATCCCATGTATTTCTGTGGTGAGAGGGGTTTTTTTATTCTCACCCAAGGACATTTTTGCATTTATCTTGAGATAGCACAGGAGGGAGAGTGGGAGGACGAGAGAGAGAAAGAGAGAAACATTGATGTGAGAGAGACACGTCGAGTGGTTGCCACCCACATGACCCCAACTGGGGCCGGGGACAAACTGCAACCAAGGTACATGCCCTTAGCGGGAACTGAACCCAGGACTCTCAGGACCGCAGGCTGATGCTTTAACCGCTGAACCAAACCAGCCAGGGCTGTGGTGTGAGTTGTTATATTGCCTCTTTCATTTCTGATTTTATTTATTTGGATCCTCTGTTTTTTGATGAGTCTAGTTAAAGGTTGATCAATCTTACTTATCTTTTTAAAGAACCATCTTTTGGTTTCATTAATCTTTTGTATTTTTTTTTTAGTCTCTATCTCATTTATTTCTGCTCTGATCTTTATTATTTCCTTCCTTTTACTTCCTCGGGGCTTTTCTTGCTGTTCCCTTTCCAGTTCTTTTAGTTGTAGTTTTAGATAGCTTATTAGAGCTTTTTCTTGTTTCTTGAGGTGGACCTGTAATGCTATGGACTTTCAGGACTGCTTTTGCTGTGTCTCGTAGGTTTTGAGTTCTTACGTGTTCATTTTCATTTCTTTCCAGGGAACTTTTTATTTCTTTGATCTCACTGGTAACCCTTTCATTGTTTAATAACATGCTAGTTAGCCTCCATGTTTTGAGCGTGTTTGAGGTTTTTATATTGTAGCTGGTTTCTAGTTTCATGCCATTGTGATCTGAGAAGATGCTTGCTTGATATATCAGTCTTCTTGAATTTGCATAAACTTGTTTTGTGTCCTAATATGTGGTCTATATTTGAGAATGTTCCACATACACTAACAAGAATGTATATTCTGCTGCTTTGGAATGAAATGTTCAGTAAATATCAATAAAATACATGTAATCAAGTGTGTCACTTAAGGATGCTGTTTTCCTTGTTGATTTTTTGTCTGGAAGATTTATCCATGATGTCAGTGGTGTGTTAAAGTCCCCTACTATGACTGTATTGCTGTCAATCTCTCCCTTAAAGTCCATCCAGATGTCTCTCTCTGTCTCTCTCTGTCTCTCTTTCTCTCTCTCTCACACACACAAACACATAGTGCTCCTGTATTGGGTGCATATATGTTTGCAAAGAATATATTTTCTTGTTGGATCTATCCTTTCAGTATTATGTCATGGCCTTCTTTGTCTCGTTATGGCCTTTGTTTTGAGGTCTATTTTGTGAGATATGAGTATTGCTACTCCTGCTTTTTTTGTTGTTTTCATTTGCATGGAATATTTTTTTCTATCCCTTCATTTTAAATCTGTGTGAATCTTTTGTTTTGAGGTGATCTCTTATAGACAGCAAATGCATGGGTCATGTTTTCTTATTCATTCGGTCACCCTGAGTCTCTTGATTGGGGCACTTAATCTGTTTACATTTGAAGTTATTATTGATAGGTACTTATTTAGTGCCATTTTAATTTTCTTTATACCTATGTTCTGCTGTCTCTTGTTTTTTTTTAAATCTTTTTCTTAAAGCAGTCCATTTAGCATTTCTTGCAATGTTGGTTTTGTAGTAATGTACTCTAACCTTTTTTTTTTTAAATCTGGGAAACTCTTTATTTTGCCTTAAATTTTAAATGATAGTTTTCCTGGATAGAGTAGTATTGGAATCAGGCCCATGCTTTTCATTATTTTAAATATTTCATGCCACTCCCTTCTGGGCTTAAGTGTTTCTATCGAGAAATTAGCTGAACTTCTAACGGGAGCGCCCTTGTAGGTAACTTTCTGACTCTCTCCCTTTAAGATTTTTTTTTTCTTTAATGTTTGTCACTTTAATTATTTGTCTTGGTGTGGGCCTCTTTGGATTCATTTGATTGGGACTCTCTGTGCTTCCTGAACTTGTGTTACTCTTCCCTTCACCAGGTTAGGGAAGATTTCTGTCATTATTTCTTCAAACAGGGTCTCTATTCCTTGCTCATATTCTCCTTCTGGCTCCCCCGTAATGCAGATGTTGTTACATGTCATATTGTCCCAAAACTCCCTTAAGCTATCTTCCTGCTTTTTAAATTTTTTAATTTGCTGTTCTAATTGGGTATTTATTTCTACATTGTTTTCCAAATCACTGATTCTGTCCTCTGCTTCATCCAGCCTACTTTTAATTCCTCCCAGTGTATTCTTCATATGGTATTCTTCATTTCCAACTGTTTCTTGTTCATAGTTTCCATTTCCTTTTTCCTGCTGTTGTAGTTCCCACTAAGTTCCTTAAACATCTTTATAATCATTACTTTAAACTCTATATATGATAGATTGCTTGCCTCCATTTCATTTTGTTCTTTTTCTGGAGATTCCTCCTTTCCCTTCATTTGGAGGTTGGTTTTTTGTCTCCCCATTTTGGCTGTCTCTTTGTGTTTGTTTCTCTGTATTAGATAGAACTGCTATGTCTCCCAGTCTCTGGTATGTCCTTTTGTAGAATGTGTCCTGAGGGTACCAGTTGTGCAGTCTCTTTGATCTCCTGAGTTATATGCTCTAGAAATGTCCCTTGTGTGTATGATTTGGGCTCCCCTGTTGTAATTGTGCCTTGACTTTTGATCTCCCCTTCAACTTGCTGACCATGAGGCTCAATCCGACCTTGTCCTTCCAGCTATTATACAGGTGCTGACAGAACAAAACAAGACAAAACAGGACTGAACCAAAAACAACACGAAAAACAAAACTCAGCAAAGCAACAGGAATAACGTCTTAAAATAAAAATGAAAATAAAGCAAAGCAAAACAGAAAAAATAAAGCAAAGCAAAACAAAGCAAAAAATAAAAAGAATACTAAAAGACATGAGGCCAAAGACTTAGAGGGCATAAAAAGAAAACAAAAGTGAAGGAAAAAAAGATAATATGGAGGCAAAGAAGGAAGTAAAAAGAATTAGAATAAGAATAAAAAAGGAAACAAAAGAAATAAAAATTATTTTTATTTTTTTAGATAAAATTAATATTTTATTAGGTAATAAAATTAAATATTATTAGGTTAAGTAAGATACAATGCCCAGTATAAGCGATGCTAAACTGTAAACAAATATTGTTAAATTTTTGGATTTCCAAAATAAGTATATTTATGTTACTGAACATTTTAGGGAATATATTCTATGAGATAAAATAAATTGAAAAGAGATTGTATATATTTCAATAACATATTATAGAAACTGAGCCTGAGTTATAATCATTTAAATAAAAATGTTTTTCAAATATACAAGAAAATTATAATGGAAGGAAAATACAAGTTTCTCCACCAATATATTATAAATCTTTGCATTGTTTTGTCTTGTTAAATAACAATGTACAAAATCTGTTTAGACACCACTGATTTCTTTTAATGTTATTCAATTAAACTAATTTTTGGTTCTGATAAAACGTTAGAGTGAGGCTTTTATAGAAACTAGTTGTTCTGGGATCTTGATCTTGGACTTCTAGTCTTCAGAACTCTCAGAACAAATTTCCTGCCCTGGCTGGTTTGGCTCAGCGGTTAGAGTGTTGGCCTGCGGACCAGAGAGTCCTGGATTCGGTTTCCACTAAGGGCACGTACCTTGGTTGCAGTTTGTCCCTGGCCCTGGTTGGGATCGTGTGGGTGGCAACCACTCGATGTGTCTCTCACATTGATGTTTTCCTCTTTCTTCCTCATTATCTCCCTCATGCTCTGTCTGAAGATAAATGAAAAAATGTTCTTGGGGGTGAGGATAAAAAAAAAATTATAATAGAGAACAAATTTCCTATTCTTTATTGATCCAGTCTATGGTATTCTGTTATGATAGATTATTCTTTCTTGGTAGATTTACACAATGATGATAATGATAATGTCATATGAGCAATATTTTATTTAAATTTTGAAAGTGTTCCTAACTAAGTTATGTAAATTTAACTTCCAAGGAGGCATTTATTTTTATTTTATTTATTTATTTTTTGGTACTTGCCCCTAGCAGGAACCGAACCCGGGACTCTCTGATCCGCAGGCCGACACTCCAACTGCTGAGCCAAACTGGCCAGAGCACATTTATTTTTTGATGGATATGATTATT